TCGGTCAACCTGTTGGGTACACAAATCGACTCATACCCGATCCATGTCGGGTATACCTAGCGGATCTCAGGTTGGGTCTAGGTCCATTGCCACCCCTAATGTTGGGTCTTGCTTGAGGGAGCAAATATCCCATGAGAGCGTATAGACGTTTCGGCTTTTTTATATAAAAAAATTCACGATATTTTGCACTCGTGCATGAGCATTCTATCCATTTGCTCCCTAGGATAAATCTTAGTATAGGATTACTTCTAGGGTCTAAAATTTTGGGATGTGTAGCACATACCTAGCACAACACGTGTTAGGACGTCCGAGTTAGTTCAAGTGGAAGGCTAAAAAAAGATAAGAAGTATGTCCAAAAGGACAAGGTTGGAAGCAATAATAAAATATATGGGAACGTATGGTTCACTGAGAGTATGACCCTTAATAGAGTACAATGACGGACGAGAATTTATATAGTTGATCTCAATTAGTTGGGAAAAAACTTTGACGATAATAATGATGATTTTCTTAAACCTAACAACCAACTTCCAAATAAAAAAGATAAAAAGAGAGATAAATAAAGAAAATCATACGACTATCTATGAGCCTAAAAAGAAAAAAGAAAAACCCGCAATCGAATGTGGATCATTCCATTTAGGGTTGGGTAGATCTCATTGTTAAATAACTAAAATCTTTTTCCATCTTTCTTCTTTTCTTTCTTACTTTTTTTTTTTTTTATAATGATAACATGATGACTCTGAAGTGGATCGCAAAATGTCAGCTCCAAAAAAAACTTTGTATATAACCTTTTTCACCTGACAGAAAGTAATTGAACTGTATGGCCCTGCGGGAGCACAATAGATGTGCTAATGATGCAATTAGTGGACGAAACCTTTTGAGGCTAGCAGACTAGCATTGGGCATTTAACCCGGTGGCTGGGTGGTCATGGATGTGGGCCTTCCCCAGCTGAAGTTTTGGAAATATGGTCCCGGCCCTCAAGCACCACTTCCAAGGTTTAAATATTAAGAGATAGATAATATGGTACCCTAAAAAAATTTGCTAACAAAAAGGAAAAATAAAGTTGTGGGTTGTACAAGTGTGAGCCTCTAGACAATCAAAGTAAGGCGCACTTGAAATAATATCAAAAAATGTTATTTTAATATTTCAAATTATAAAATTTAAAATTTTAAAAATAATGTAGATCGAGCATATCTATGAACATTTGATAATCTTGAAAATTGACAGTTTAAAAAATACATTACAAGGTGCACCATTTTCAATATTTTCAATATTTTTTTTCTCATGTTCATACACCTTGAGGTCCACATGATCGATTTGATGATTTTTGGGCATCAAAACAACATCTAGTTAATTTTTGAGATGTGCATTTATTTGTTTGTTTAAAGCCTCACCCTTATATAAATTTTTTCCAAAAAAAAAAAATCGCATGCACTCCGGGGGGTAGTTTTTAGAATGCACGCACTTGATAAACAAATTAAGCACTGTACATTGGCTTCTTAAAAATCCAAATCCGGTACTGACTAGACTGGATCCAATTCTTATTCCCTCTGTCTTGCTTGGACGAATCTTGAGTTGGACTCATAACCTTTTCAGATTTGGGTGATTTTAAGTCAGATTGGCTATTTTTTTTTATCATTAATGTGCACATCATATCAATCTATACATGTAGAAATAAAGAAAATGGAACATCGTGGGGCCTTCACCTTCAATTGTTGGTCTTGTATAACCCAATCTATGCATGTAGAAATAAAGAAAATGGAACATCGTGGGGCCTTCACTTTCAATTGTTCGTCTTGTATAACCCAATGTTAAAAAGGTCGAATCGGGTCAAGTACTCGGTCCATGCCCGTGCCGAGTACTTGGGTCGAGTACGAGCAACTCAGCCCGAGTAGTGGCGAGTACTGTAGTAACAAAAGAAAGGTTAAAAAATTATAAAAAAATACAAAAGAAGTAGGAAATGTAGCAAAACACTTCAAAATGAGGATAAAAAAGGAGAAAAAAATAGATTTTAAAAATTCAACTTGTGGCAGGGGATATTTTCAAAATGATCCAAGAAGATGAAAATTGTGAAAATAAGCATTTATGGCCAACACATTTTTCAATCTTTGTCAAAATGATAGAAACATAATAAAATAAATTAATATATAGTCGTGGGAGGCAAGGCACACAGGGGATAGGG